GTATATGTTCAAGTATAAAAGTTATGGCCTAAGAGCCTGTGAACGCCAGACCTTCGTCATTTTATAAAAGCTGAAAGTTTGTCAGCGCATGCTCCCAACACAGATAAGAACGATGGACCATTATTTTTCAAAAAAACACACTTTATTATTTGACGAATTTAGATCGGTACTTTACACACCATTAGTACCGTGTACCTGCCAAAGCCACCATAGCCTGAACTTCATAATGATCCATCGTTCTTATCTGTGTTGGGAGCATGCGCTGACAAACTTTCAGCCTTTATAAAATGACGAAGGTCTGGCGTTCACTGGCTCTTCCTCTATTATATATGTATATACAAGGGCTGGCTTACATATATTAGAACGACACGTTAGCAGTTTTCTTGAGAAATATTTTTACACAATATAGATGAACAAAATATTTTAAATAAAGAGTTACGTTATAACTCTTTAGTTAAAATTTTCACGTGTTAATATAGGAATGCTATTTATATTGGTATATTGTTGGTATAGATAACCAATAAAATGACATAAGTGTGTTTCAAACCGAAATCCACTCAAAAGCTATTCTTGTCCTGTATTTTCCTTGCGGATGACGTGTCTATTTCTGTATTAATCCATTTTGGTGAATGTCTGGTGGATTTCGCTGCTGTTATAATATTCATCACAGGATCTAATTTCATACAACAGTAGCAAAAATATCATGATACCCCACTCAGCGTAGTACGAGCTACCTACTCACCCTCACGCCATTAAATATACATTTAAAAGAAAATCAATATTTTATGAATATTATCGAATCTGCTAGAACATTTTAACGATGGATGATGATAATAATTAATATCTAATTAATGAATACAAATTCTAAGCATTGTTTGTATTAAGACAATCTATAATTGTCATTTTAATTGAAATTATCGGTGGTAATAATTTACTTCTTTAACTTTACTTTTGTATTTAAATGTATTAATAGATATGATACTTTACGATGAAAAATATTATTATTATTGCCTTAAAATATGGACATTCCTAACTTGGATGCTAATTTTTTTGTTTTAAATGGATATTTTTTACAAAAAGAATTAGGTATTCTTAATAAAACCAATTTGCTATATATGTTTATTTATTTATTAGTAATATCCTATTTTTAATTCATTTTATTTCTATATGGTGTGCATAATTTTAAATAAATTAATTCAAGTGAGTTTCATGTTGTTTAAATTGCTGTCTATAATGTCATAGCACGTTGATAAATAAAGTTAGATACCTAAGCATACATTTTTCATTGATTATTTATAAACCCTGTTTATAAAACTGATAGTGAACGTAATTTCAACTTTAGGTAAATTAAAAAAATAAATTATGATGAATTGATTGTTAATTCATTATTTTTATTCTAGTAGTATGATGATCTTATATGTGGTACAATTTTAGAATCAGTAAACCAATACATAAACGAACATTTCACATTTAAAACAGTAACATAAATTTTTACAATTAAAATAATAGCAGTGATTTAAACAGGGTCGACTTTAATCCCATTACTGAACGCGTCAGCCTGCTGCCTGTGGAAGCCTTCTCAATGCATACGTAGGTAGTTCTTTAGGTGGGTCACCTGACTTATGCACCTCGCATATATATTATTCAAACGAACGTTCTGTAACTATTAGATAATGATTGCCGATGCTATTTCAATTGCTCTTATTTATTTATAAACAATGACTATGTTTTGGTAGTCAGCAGACTACACAGAAGATCTTACTGATCATTTTCAACACGATGAATTGATACAAAAAATAATTTTATTCATAGAATAGACAAGCTCCTGCCTACCTACTTCGACGAAGTTTTCACATTTTATGTTCTTTTAAACCAGTTGCCCGAATTAATTTGACTGATAAAATATCTTAGTCGGTGAAAGTTATCAAAAATATTTATTGTAGGTATTAAAATTCTATATTTAAATCTGTTTATTGATATCAAACAATTTGTCACAATAACATAAACGCAGTAGGTAACAATCTACAAAAATTCTAGTGAATTTTTGATAAGATAACAATGTTATGTCTCAGTTCTCTCATTTCTGCTACTAGCATTGTCAGTATTTTAAATAATTCCACACACGTAAGAAAGCATTAGTAAATAATATTTACAAGGCAATTAAGGTTATATCGATTTCTACCTAACATCACTCAATTACAATGGTATGGCACGTCTACCCGCTCACTTTTGAAAATGAACTAAGAGGACGATTACGAACAAGTAAGTTATTTTAATACTTTACATAAAATAGGTACAGTCTTTGTATATGTCGCAGGAAAATTGTTAAGCTGTTGCGATACGTAGCGCTTAACGGATAAGCGCTACGTATCGCTCCCGCTTTAGCCTTCTCACCTAACGGTATCCAAGTCGGATCTGTCACCTAATCGAAAATTAAAAACTACTAACAAATAATATTATGAAATTAAGAAAATAATCAACAAATTGAATGCTTTGTTAAACATTCATCCTCTGTATTACTGGAAATGCAAAAATGAAGTGACTAATGCCCGATTTCACCAACATCCCATAAGCTTCCACCTACGTATGGGATCCCTAGCTTAAAAATTCCCCTTTTCACCATCGTCAGAGCCCGTATTTCTAATACCTATATTTAGGTGGCATTTTAACATTTAGGTGACCCTAACTGTCGGTGAAACAGAAACTGTCCACTAACAGCCTCCTAACCATCCTTAGGGGATTCCTTAAACTTAGGTGACGTTGGTGAAATCGGCCTTAAGATTCTGCAAAACCTCAATTATGAAGAGACTAATGCCTGATTTCACCAACATCCCATAAGCTACCATCTACGTATGGGATCTCTAACTTAAAAGTTCCCCTAAACTAGCCCCTAAATTAAATTTCATTTTACCATCTTCAGGGTCCGTATTTCTAGTACCTATATTTAGGTGGCATTTTAACATTTAGGTGACCCCTAACTGTCGGTGAAACAGAAACTGTCCCCTAACAGCGCCCTAACCATGCTTAGGGGATCCCTTAAACTTAGGTGACGTTGGTGAAATCGACCATAAAACACTTGTTTATGATAACTATTAGCTAATGGACATAAGTTAATTGTTGATTGGATATTTATAAGATAATTTTACGGAGTGTTATTTATATGCTTTGTACGTAAATGTATCAGATATATGTATTTATATTATAGTACTTACCACTTGTACTATCAAACTTCCACCTGATTGTACTACTGTAAGGATTCGTATAAACTATTAATATAAACTTAAATTAAACTAACAAAATTATAATAGTACTAATATAGCCTCAAATTGTATTTTTACTAACCTTAGAACATAACTGCCCCTATTGTCCTGAGGTGGGCGTAAATAGCTGCGACACAGTTTATACTAATGCAGCTACTTACGATCTATTTTGAATATGTATGTTATTATGTTCAAAAAAATCTTTAAAATCTATATTTATATTATATACATATGTATAAAATCTTAACACGGACTGTGGTCTCGTGATATTGGAAGAAAAGGAGGCGATTAACAATACTACGGGTAATTATAATTTCACTAGTAAAATTATAATTTAACAGATCTTACAATTTCCCTGCGATATATACGAGTTTACTATATGGATATGCCTTGTTTTTTTTTAATTACTTTTAAGATTGAATAATGCAAAAGGAAAATAATAAAAAAATAATATGTTCCTTTTAAATTACTGTATATGTTTGAAATATAAAAATCATGATTTAATTTAAGCGTTACGAGTTATGTTATGACCATGTCATAGTTTTTCATAATAATATTTTCAACAATACATGTTCACTGGAATAGATTTATTTAATCCTTCCAAATCATTCGTTCATGTTTTGTCAGTGCGTGACCAAGTCACAGTCACTCTATCGCACGTTCCGAACTTGACCCACATCTCCTGAGAACCTATTGTCTTCGCCTGACCTCGATTCATGTTAACCCAAAGTCTTCACTCTAAAATACATACTTGCATTTCCTTAAGCGTCCTTTCGAAAGCTAGCAGGGGTTTGAATATAAGGGTTCTTGTCTTAAGATTTCGGGTCTGTATAATTATTATTTACTATGCACAATTTAGTAAGGGTTCTTATAAAACCTTTTTTTTATTTTTTATCTTGTTTTATTCTTGCTTGTTTTATCTTGTTATTTTCTTGTTCTTATTTTTGCTTTAAGGTTTTTTTTTCCTATTTTATTAATTGAAATATTGTAACTGATCTTTTAGACTAACATTACTCAGTTGACCTCAATCCTCATTCTCAGATAATCAACGTCCTGATTTCAAATGAGTAATAAGAAATAATTTATCTCAATTTAGTATTCAAGCGCCAGAGCGAAACTTTCCCAACTTTCATTTTGGACTTACTTTTAAATAGAATGCCGTTATAATATAGCATTGCCCTAGTCACTGCATGACTACGCTTTCCACGCCTATGATGATTTTATGCTCATTTACTGCATTACATTATTTCTAGCAAGTCATATAACACAAATTTCAGCTTATTTTTTCTATTGAAATGGAATAGAATTTTATGTATTCAATAGTTATATGGTAACCTACTTTTATTTAAATGTATAAAAATATATGAAGAAGTATAATTGATTTAATTGTTAAGTAAGTATATTATTTTAAATTCTCATACGTCTACCGGTCTTCCTTTTCTACCATAGAAACAGAATAAACATATTATTGGGGTGACAACAGGTATTTAGTCTTCAAACATTATCTAAGGTTATTCACCTTTGCTTAATATAGTTTCAAGTTAATAAGGTTATAATTAGTATTTAACCGGCATAACCAACATAATATGTACTTAGAATACCACGAAATTACCTAAGAGACAGAGAGAGGTAGGAGTAATGAAATAGGTTTTAGTAACTTGTGAGGCTTCTTGTATTGACCGAGAGATGCATAATAACATTATAGAGTATGTACTTATATATAATTGTGTATTCTTTCAGGCATGTCCCTAGACGAGGGTAGACAGTCGCAGCGTCCATACCGCTATGGCATGGTTCTGCTTTGCGCAGGCGCTCTTATCAACTGGCTGGGCCTGGCTGAGGACTACGCGGAGCCTGTGCGCTACGTGGGCGTGGCTTGCATCGTCGCCGGCGCGCTGCTCATCTGCGCGGCCATGTGCTGCTGGCTACAGTCGCCCGCTAGGCAGCCACAAAATGACCGCAATTCGCCAGATACCCACCAAGTAAGATTTTTAAATTTTATTTTTCTGCTTTTTCTTAAAAAATCATTTAAATCACAAAGACAACTTTACAAATTCGTTTTAATTGACGTATTACGAAGTATCTTAATATTTTATATTAGAATTATAGCAGCAATATCTAGTATGCACTGCAATTAATAAATTTTCAAAATGAAATGAAATAAACGTCGATCCGAACGCAAAATGCCATATATTTGTAAAGGAAAACCGAAATGAAGTCTTAATTATAGTTAAAAGGAAACATATTAAAAAACTCTCAAGTCTTCAAATTCCCACAATAAATTTCTCCAAACGCAAGACTTGCCATTGACAATTTCTTATAGGTATTAATGGCATTAATTTTTCATTACAGATTGACGATCCTATCCACGTTATCTCAATGCCAGACGAGGAGACGATGCAGCAAAAACCTCCAGACTACGACACGGTAGCAGGCGCGCCGCCTACGTATGACGACGCCATTAAGCTGAACCCGGCGCGCTTGCTGCCCGCCACCAGCAGCGCTCGCAGTGTGCCGGACCTACCGCCACAGCATGCCGATGTCACCATCATCCCGGGACAGCTGGACGAGGCGCACGCGCCTCCCGTCCCGCAACCCATCGTGCCCGTGCACGCTCCCCCCGGCCACCACGGGCACGCCGGCCCTACCGGACACGTCGCACACGCGCACTCACCCGTGCCTAAGACCCCGCCACCGCCGTACCGACCACCGCAAGCCATCAGATGAAAGGTCTGCACTCATTGTGCCACCTTTGTGTTACTTTAAATCGACTGCTGTTTCATGTGATGTGACTATGACTTGTAAATACGCCATGCATCGTGAGCGGTAGATCACAGGGCTCCACGGACGACTCGTCCTCTTGCGGTATTATCTCATTGTATCATATGCATCCACACATGGAACGTCTTTATTTTATTTAAACTTATCGTAGGACGTCGACAGTAGAGACGAAGCGTACTTATGTGATATTAAAGAGTGAATAATAATTAGTTACTTAATTAACCTACCTGCTGTATATATTTATTATAAAAAACTTTGTAAATTAAAGATACTAAGCGAAAGATGTACCTTAGAAATATCTCTTCCAAATGGCATGAACTCCTATTATATATAATTAGGTAGTGAGCTATTTACACTGAAAAATTTCTTAAATTGAATCAAAAAATAAAAAAAAAAGTGTAGCGTAACATAAAAGTAGAGCTGTGCCATTACTGAGTAATTAAATTATATTAGTTATGTAATCACATTGGTACAGTATTATATGTATATTATCGACCATGGCTGGACTAGTAGCTGTTTTTAAATAGACAGCAATTATCTTGCTCAATTGACTTTACATGAGTGTAAAAATGAGGACTACTTAAAGGAATTTAATATTTATTTAATTTTAATACAGAAGAGTGAATTTATGTATATAAAATACTAACGCGCTAAAGAAATTGCGCATTTAACAGCTATAGCAATAACTAATAACAAGGATAAATAACTTCATCAGCGATAATTTTTTACTGTTTGTTACATCTTGTACTTAGAATGTACACGTTTGTGTATTTATTGGCACGACGATCAGTATCTATAAGCTAAATACTGTGTAGCTAGTGACTTGTGATACTTCAATGTTAGTTTGTACATTTGATGACAGGAATGGTGCGATGACTGCATTTTGTCCTTTACACGTACGATAGCATTTTACAGCTCACACACAGTTCACGTGATTCCTGTTATCGATAAACCTTAATATTAGATAACGTTAATGTTGAAAACCAATCAGTTTGTTACTATTCTAGTCCTTAAATTAACGACTATTATAAATAAACTTTTTGTTAATCACCAAGGCATATTAATTTGTATCTGTACAAGTTTATATTGCACAACTTGATGGTGATTTCTTGTTTATCAATTTTACAGTATTTGTTATTCTTTATTTTTTGAATTCTTTTAGCAAAATTAGTTAACCTTACACCTAATTTATGTTAATTATTATTTTTAAAGGAAAAATCTGGCAGCTGTTTTATTGCTACAACGTCCTTGTACACATATCATTTGTAAATAAGTATTAGCATAATATCGAAATGATCATATAAACCATGAGATCTGCTGATTTTTCGCTAGCATGTGACTGCAGTTGGTTTCTAGTGAGACGTCTTGGGAATATGTACCTTACTAACTGAACATCAGAAAAAAATATTTGTGATTGTGTGTTGTAAGTTCTTTGTTTTGAATCTATGAAATGAAATAACACTTAAAAACTTTCCTATACTTAATTAAATTACGCAAATCTCATTAATTACGTATAATAGTCGCTTGTGTTCATCTGGCCTAATGTATTAGTAGGTATTACAGTAAACACTTTATATAAATTGCTTAAACACCAATCTACAATTTGTGAGTTTGCAATAAATTGGGACCAATATTTTATTATTGTAACATATGTGACCTCCTGGTAATAATTGCCTATTCGTTTTAAGGTTAACAATGCTGAAGTTGTGCATTTATTATTTGTACATTTTACAAACTTACAAAATTTGAGTGTACATACAAAATAAATGTTGTTGCGAAAATATATTTTTGTTTATTACCCTTTCCTTTTCTAGCTTTGTATTTCCCTATTTAATAAAAAATATATTATAAATAATGAACGTTTGGTAACTACTCCCAAAATGATGAAAAGAATAACATCACTATAATTATGACCTTCGTTAAAATGATGCATGCAAGTAGAATAACTTTATTATAGGATTCTTTTAACAAGCTCATCTATTGCCTTTTGTTATGAAGCATGTCACGGGTTTCTTTCGACATTTAAGTGCTCATAAACTGAAAAATTAATGTTATGGTTATTGGTGTCACTTGTAAATACTAGGTGTTTACTTAACAAAAATAGGTACAAACATTTGTTTTTTTTACATTATGAGCCTTAAGAGGTTTGGATCATGGATGTTTGTAACACAAGCACGTACACACGTAACTTGGAACATACATATCGATTCTGGATATATGTATGTATTATGTACTTAAATAATTTTCATCCTTGTATTGCATTCCTTTGAATTATATATTAAATTTTTAATATTATTCTAATAACAAGAAAAAAAAATACTATAGAAAATGTTTCAATCTAAAATCTCGGTTAGTGTCATGACTCATGGTCACAATCTAAACTACTTATTAATCTACATAAAATCTATATTATAAATTGCTCAATCTAATAAAATGTTCACTAAAAAGGGTACCTTCTGGTTCATATAAAATATACGTATCTAATACATACTTAACTTCTATGCTATAGGTATACCGCTTGGGGAGAAGTACGTTGACTTAAAAGTTGTTGAGATTATCTTAGATTATATAGACATTTATTATATTCTTTATTGCACTTAAAATATGATACAGAAAAAAAAATAACAAAGTAAACATAGTTCACAAAGGTGGACTTATCTCTAAAAGAGATCTCTTCCAGTCAACCCTGGTTGTGGAAGAAGATGTCAGCGGGCAATATGGTGCAAAAAAAAAACTAAATATATACTAGCAATAAAGGTAATAATAACCACTTATACATACATACATCCATACATACATACATATATACAAAAATATATAATACTATACATATATAATACCTAATGTAAAGACTACTTATACATACAAACATATATACATATACATAGTTAATATATAAAATATGAAAATGGAGAAAGGTACTGATTGATATTGTCTACATTTGTGAGAATAAATAATTTTTTAATTTACATTTAAAAACATGAATAGATGGGCTCTCATGGATGGATTTCGGCAGTTGGTTCCATAGTACTGCGGCATGGACAGAAAAAGAGTTTTGTTGGAATTTAGTATTGCTCCTAGGAATGTCGAGCATAGAAGTACTGCAAGATCTTCTGGAACGTGTAGGGATTGGTAGAAAGTTAAAACGGGAACGAAGGTAAGGAGGGAAATTTTGATATTTAAGGATATTATAAAGGAATGAAAGGATTTATACTATAATTTAAATTTATTTAAAATTTATTTAAAATTAACTCACCCGTAGACGATTTAATAGATTTAAAATCACTTTCAGCAAAATAATGTCCACATAGTCTTAAATATAAAGAATGTGATTTTGCCAATTTTAGTAGACGATTTAATAGTTTTAAAATCACTTTCAGCAAAATAATGTCCACATAGTCTTAAATATAAAGAATTTGATTTTGCCAATTTTGGTCGTCTTATTGCTTTAGCCCACAATATTTCTTTAAGTACACATACTCCATTCGTTTAGATATTTCGTTTGAAATATCTCTATTCTCTATTTATTCTGTAGTCTCAAGCGTCAACTGTCAATTAGCAAGTGTCAACTGTCAAAGTTGAAACGATAATTAATATTTATTGCTTTTTGTGTTTACTTTTCTTAAAAACTAAATATAGAAGAGAATAAAATAAATCAATGAGATATAGTATAAGTTAAACATTACAACCGACTTGTAGGAAAGTAATTACATAGATGAAAATAATGCCGGTTGAATTAAACAGTCTAACAGAAGGATGGCTAGAACTAGAAAGCGATCCGGGTTTGTTTACACTTCTACTAGAAGATTTCGGAGTAAAAGGAGTACAAGTGGAAGAAATATATGATTTGCATAAACCATTAGAAAGTCCAGTGTATGGTTTTATTTTCTTGTTTCGATGGATAGAAGAGAGACGCTCCCGACGTAAGTTTGTTGAACAGACTGAAAGTTTTGTACGGGATGAAGAAACAATTAACAACATTTTCTTTGCCCAGCAAATGGTTCCAAATAGCTGTGCTACACATGCTTTGTTGTCAATATTATTAAATTGTCCTAACCTTCATTTAGGTGAAACATTGAGTAGATTAAAGGTATTATTTTTATTAAGATACTTCATTCTTAAGTAGTTTTGCCATTCATATTTCGTAATCTTACATCGTCATTTTTTAATATTCTAGCATCATACTCTTGGCATGAATCCAGAAAATAAAGGCTGGGCCATAGGAAACACACCTGAATTAGCATGCGCTCATAATTCACATGCTATACCCCAAGCTCGCAAGAAAACTGATAAGAATGCAGGAGTGTCTACTGGACGTTTTACAGGTTTTCGAGCATCTTTATACAATTCGTTGACATAGCTGTGGTGATTACAGTTGCACTAAAAATTACAATTTAAATTTGCAATTAAATTCATTCAAAATGATAGAAGTTCACTATTTTCTAAAAGGTTTATATTATACAAGCTAAAATTAACCTAAGTTATAATTATTACTATTTTATTTAAGGTGAAGCTTACCATTTTGTCAGCTTTGTGCCAATAAATGGTCATTTATTTGAATTGGATGGCTTAAAACCATTTCCTACAGATCATGGCCCATGGGCTATGGATGAGGATTGGACAGATAACTTTCGAAGAGTTATGGCCGAAAGACTAGGGAGAGATGCAGGGGAACAAGTGCATGACATTAGGTATCGATTTTTATTTTATTGTATATAAATAATAATAATGTCCTCCAGTCTCTGGTCACTGAGACTTGCCTACTATGCGGGAGGTATTACAGTGCGCAAATGCACTCTCTATTCCTTTTACTCTTAAAGTGTGATGGAATGATACTTCTACACAACCATCCACAGGTAATAGTTAAGGCGCAGGACCGACGGCTTTACGTGTTCTCCAGACACATGGGGTAAAACATCACCAACTTCCCAACTCTGGGCTGTTACTGAGAATTTCTTTGACAGAAATACTCAATAACTGAACTTTACCTGATTCGGTACTCGAAGCCAGACCCTCTGGATCTGTGACCATACATGCTAACCACTACTGCCGTCATAATAAACTAACAACTTGGTCAAAAATGACTAAAATGCAGATTCGGAATCAGCAAAAAAATGCTATTTGATAGTCTTACTCATAAAGCTCTTAAGTCTTATGTATCCGGAGATACCACAACCATTTTCATAGTAAGTACGTCAAAACTTGTAGTAATATTTATGTAGTAGTAATACAAAACTTCAAATATCTCGAAATCAAATTTGATGAAGTTGCGCTTTTATGATGGCAGACTAGACCACCAAGATAGTTATACAAATAATTATTCTTACTCAAATGCTAGCTAAATAAATAAGGTCATATAAAAATAATGTATTTAACACTGTTATTTTATTTATTCTACCTCTATCTTAGATTCAATCTGATGGCTGTCGTACCTGATAGAAGAATAGCTTTAACACAGAGATTAAATATGCTGGAAATCAACCAGAAGAGAGTGAAGGAAGCTATCTCAAAAATTGGCAAACATTTAAGGCATCTGCTAAACAAAAACAAAGACTTCAATGGTAAAATTTGAATTGCTTTAAATTAATGAATTACTTAAATGTATGTACTATTTGATTTTATTAATCTAAATAAACTAATGATTTAAGTTAACTAAAGTTCTATTTAAAAAAAAAACAATTTGAGTTAGTGAAATTAATTATTTGAAAATATATCATTGTATGATATCATTTTTAATATTAGCAACACATGTTTGGGTTTATATTAATAGTATTAAGTATAATTATAGCATTTGGAATATTTTTATTTTTAGATGAGACAATGTCACAAAACAACGGCACCGATGGTATCAGTGATAATTGTATCCAAATATCTGAAGATGCAACTCTAAATGCCTTGGATGCTTCGGAGGTTTCATCACTTGACATAGACTTTACTCATTCCATTACTATTGAAATTGGATCCATGGAGAGAGCACAGTTTGATAATTCACTTAGTTTAGGTAAGAGAAGGTCAGATTTGCATACTGAGGGTTCCATGACATACCACCACACAAGATATTTCAATTCAAATCAAAATATACTTTAGTCAAATAGACTTTTACAAGCCCTTTTGAATTGTTAATTAAATTTGCGTTATACATTTACCAATACAACATAACTATAGATTTTGTGGCTCATTGCTTAGTGGAAATTCAACTCACACTTAGTTTTGTTAAGTTTTAACACCTTCAGGTAAATTTCTAAGAAATTAATTAAAATTCTAAGAAATCTATTGTTAACTGACACACCGCGTGTCCGCGGTCGTGGAGAGATTAACACTAATACAAACAGAAAAACAACGTGTGTGTGTGTGTACGTACGCAACGTAAGAAGTTATGCTTCTTTGGCGTAACAGAACAAAAAATAGCTAAATTGCTAAAGCTGAAAGTTTGTGAGTATGGATGTTTGTTACTCTTTCACGCCAGAATGGCTGAACAATTATAGTCTGGAATAACATATAGGCTACTTTTTATCCCAGAAAATATACGGTTTCCATGGGATAGGTTTGGTTTTGCTTTTCTAGAGCAAACACGAGCGAAGTGATGGTGAGCCTCTAGTAGTTAATGATGACCCAAGTTTGTAGTTACATCTATTAAAAGGTTTTAATAATAAATTAGATTCTGCTTATATTTGTTATTGTTTCTAAAGTGTCTCGCATTGTATTAGAATTGAAACATCATAAAAGTCAAAATTTACAATTATTTTGATTTTATGATGTTTCAAATTAGATAAAAGTAAAATTTCTATGCACCTCAGTAAATTATAATTTATATTTATTATTCAACTTTATTTTGCATTTTCCTTTTAATCTTTTAGCTGATCCAGTGGAGCCAACTACATTGCTTAAGTTTGTTACTATAAATGGAGAAAATGAAATACTTTCTGAAGTAAGTTTTAAGACATCATTTTACATTATATATGTAACATATCAGTTTCTTTTTCAAAATTCGACTTATTAGTCTAATGAAATTTGTAATATAAAAATTAAAACTATAGTAATGCACTTTATCAACTTTTTGCCTTATTTAGCTTTTATAAATATTGTAACATTGAAAGTTAAATATAATAATATTTCTTAGATCTACCCGACATCTACTACAGCACTTGTGAAAAGCAATGATATGCCAATAGTTTTGTGTACCGAAGTAATACCGGAGCAACCCTATAGGATGAGGAAGTTGTTGTTCACACACTCCGAGTTAAACTCTTTGATGAGCAGTATTATTAGCGAAGTGCAGTCGTGTCAGCAGGCTCTGAACGACGAAAACGATAAGAGGGATATGTATAAGGTAATCTATACATATAATAAAATTGTAACTAAGCTGAATCTGTACATTAAATATTTTTTTGGAAAATCTTATTGAAATAGACATTATTATCGATACAGAAGCCGAATCTATAGTTTTTAGAATTTTTGTCTGTCTGTCTGTTACCGCATCACGGAAAAACCACTGGAGGGATTTTGATGAAATTCGGTATGATGGTAGCTTGTTATCCGGGTCAACATATAGGCTACTTTTTATCGCTGGAAAATATTTCATTTCTGAGAAAAAATACAAAAACTGCATTGTGAGGGTATACTAATATGTAAAAACTAAGAATTTGGTTTTTGGTCATCTAAGCGCAGGCAGAGCCGCGGGCAATGCTAGTCTATATAATATAAATTGAACTGTTTGTACTTTAGAAATAAAATCATAATATTATCATCAAAAAGTATTTGAACATATTCCTTTAAATATGTTTAAAAAGCGAAATTAATAAGCTTATAAAGAAAATGGAAACAAATGCAGATCCACCGTTATGGTCACAGTAGGCATGTTCACAATCCTAATTGTCAGCTACAGACTGATGTTTATATCCAATGCCTTCACTGTGGGGCTACAATAGCGAGACACGGCGAATATTCGCGTTATCGCGACAAGTGTGGCCGAGTAGTGCGGCGCATCGCGTAGTATTCGGGCGATGACGAAAGCTTATAGCGGCAGTCGGCACTGTCGGTGGTACACTGGCGCGCATCAAAGGATTTTACGGCGACAATATTCGCTTGCGTGGCTACACTTCGCCACTTGTGACTTGAGTTGCAGTCCAGACTTTGAGCGGAACGGACGTGAGTGTGATATTTTGCAGGGAAAGTTACGACACAACTACAGTTTGAACTGGAGCAATGAAAAAGTATTGGAGTTTATTCAATTTTATGTAAACGGAGAGTATATGGGATCCCCGTAAACTCGACCACAATAAGAAAAATTTAGTATATGAACGTGGGGTAGAATTAAAAATAAGCTCAGTTGTAGGCCAACGGTATGGTAGAAGAAATGAATGATGTTCTCCTAGCCGATTCCGGCTACGGCGGCCAATCTTATTGAGACTAGCCAACTGCGCAGGAGATATTATAGTGCACAAGTGTACGCGCAGACACAAGTGCACTCTCCAGACGTGCAGACCAGTGAGAGTTAAGGCGCAGGACCGTCGGCTTTACGTGCTCTCCGAGTACAACGCCACCACTTCCTCCATTTTACTTCGCAAGAGTTATCGCCTACGTCGGCCGCGAAACAGGCGAACAAGTTGACTGCTTATATGTAGACAAGAACATCGCGTATACCCGTACACGATGTTTTTATCTCGGCTACGTGACCAGAATATTCGCGCGCTAATGTAAACCCACCGTCATAAACTGAAAAAAAGTACCAATACTAGCAACCTAGCGTAGCTACCGCGGAGAGATTATTTTCTATTCTATGCAGAGTAATGTACCTTTGCAAGAATGTAATATATTGAGCATGAGCAAGTCCGTACTCCCATACACTTAGCCCACTTTCGAGTGACTGTAAATGTGACCACAACCTTTTTTGAAAACTGCATCCGCGCTTAAGAATGTCTCGATGAACAAGGACGACTTGTATTGCGCTTGGGTAACCTATTCATCATTTTTATTATGTTATAGTCATTCTAGGTAACATTGGACCAGGCCGACCAGCTTTGTTTCTTTGGACCCTGAACAAATGCTTTTCTTTTTAAATCAATAATTAGACAAAGGAATAGCATGTATCCAAATGTAAAAAACTATCTATACAAGAATAAAAAATACAACAAATAAAATCGACAGACCAATCATTTCATTATCCAAACGAAAGAGCTTATCTATTTACGCCTTGCATTTTTGTTTATAGATCCCGTGTTACTTTTAATGCCTTTAATTTGTAAGTTATAAAAAAAAAATTATAAAAAAAAATTAAAAAAAATTTTGGTCTGAAAAAAACGGTGAAAATTGAGTAAAATATGACTCTATTCGTCAATTTTTTTAAAAGCTACAAATTCTACCCCCAAGCTAAGATAAGCTTAAATAGTGAGATTATCCATCGCTTAGGTGGACGACTGCCGGCGCACGCACAACTACGACGAGTTCATCTGCACGTTCCTGTCGATGCTGGCTGAGCGCGGCGTGCTGGGCGAGCTGGTGGCGGCGCAGCTGGAGCGCGGCCGCAGCGCGCGCGCGCGCCGCCGCCGCCCGCGCCCGCGCCCTCGCGCGCGCCCCCGCCCGCGCCCGCGCGCTCGCAAGTGAACTACGTATAATGTGTTATGTTATTGTATAATACCAGACTTCTAGTAAGGGTCGACCACACTATAGTGCCGCATATACTTTACATGCCCGATATCGGTACGTTATCGGGCTGGTAAAGTATTTTTAAGGTAGTTGAAGTATTTTTACAATTAGTGCTTTCATACTATCCTTCAAGTCGAGATCCGCCTCATAAAATATTTTGACTGAACGAGATCGAACTTGTCTTGATATGTCCTGATAATTTGAATGCTCTTCTGTTCCCTAAAGATGCTTTCACATAGCAGTTATATAATGCTAAAATATGTTGCATAAAATTTGTTACTTAACGCTTTTGTAACATAATATGACTAAAGATATAATTCTTTTGTTTTTCAATGTTACAAATGTAACTGGATATGACAAATTATAACTTTTGTTAAATAACATTACAGTGCAGTGTTATAAAAAATGTTAAAACCTTTTTTTACCAATGTGGGAACGTAATCAACATTCTATCATATACTTATTATAACAAATGTTTTAAGATGTTATAATATAACATTACTATTTTGTGTTCGCGGCTTCGCTCGCGTGATAAGCTAGGCCGCTAAGATACAGTCTATGTCCTTGCCAAATTTTATCGAAATCTGTTCAGCAGTTTTAAGTGTAGTGTGTGTTTTAGTATTTTTTAATACAACTATGGGTATAACTACAGCCTGGGAGTACTTTTAGGATAACTCATAAAGCCTGTAACTGTTATTAATAAATAATTTATATAATTTACGGATCATTTTAGGTCTGTCCTAAAATCTTGTTTGACTGGTTACATTGTGTATGTTAGTTGATAATATTACTGATATTTAAACTATTCTCTTTTGTGTTGGTTAATAGTATTTATATTTTTATTTATTAAGCGATGTATGAGATCATATTGTTTGAAATAAATTATTATAATTTATATTAAAAAGTTTTTTTTTTCACTGTCCAGCTTTATCTATAATTTACTAAGCTACTGCATTTCTGAATCGTGCAACATAACGCAGTACATAGACATGGAGCCAAAGTATATAAACTAATGCATTGTTCATGACTAAGTGAAGTGAGTCTAGTGCGTTTGATTGGTCTAATGACTAGACATATATCTAAACATCAATATTAAGCGTCAATCTTCAAAATTAAATATTTATAGGTTACTAGCGGAACCCGCAGCTTCGCTCGCAATGAAACTACAAAAAAAACTTTGAACAGGTAGGTTTCACTCAAACTGTCATCCCTCATTTTACCCCTTTATGGGACGAATTTCGAAAAATGTTAATACATGTGTTTATTTAATTGTATTGAAGAGCATTTATATCAAGTTTCAAGTAATTCTGATCACAAATATTTTTTATGTTGTATTATATTATAACGTGTTTTTCAGTGAGAATAGTCTCGCGCGGTAAAAGTAGCCCTTGCATCTATTTACACACAGAAATTACACCAATCCGCCGCTCTGTTTCGACGTGAAAGACGGACAAACAAACAAACACACTTTCACATTTCTAATATTAATATGGATTTCAAAATAATTAGGAATTAGGATGTTTACTTGAATGTTGCGATGTGAAATTTCTGTACGAAAATGAAGCAATTGTTTTTACTCTTGAACTACTACTAACTGTAATATAATACAAAGAACTGAATTAATTATTATAGTACTTTGACTAATTCATAAAAAGATATAAAGCATGACTTATACATAAACATAAAGGATACCTTAAATAAAAACAAGATTTATTTAAAAACGAATTATAATATACTACGAGCAGCGCCGTATTCACATGATCGTTATATTGTTAGAGAAATGTAACAACAACATTATTGTATTAGGCACGTACTTCATCGAACAATTCCTTACAATTTAATTAACATTAGGAATAGTGATGCCCGAATTAACGCACACTCGAGAACAACATCGGCATACGGGTCGCTATGACTACGCAATCATGATTCTACTGCTAGACAGTTTTAGAACCCAAACCATTAACAGACTGCTTTCATGCATTATTTATTTCAACTAAAAACATTATTTTTAATACCTAAGGACACCCAGAGGCTAACAGTACAATATAATGTTTATGCTGTTTACATTTTATGTTAACAAAGATAATATTTTTTTATAATATATTTGATTTCAACATACATTTTATGTGTATCATTAAAAAAGTAAAAAATATTGCACATATTTAAATCACTTTACATATCATTCTTCAGTTTTTGTGTCAATTCTTGTATTTAGTTTGTATAAAAATATTTTGTATAATGAATGTCTGTTAATGTATTGAGTATCTAAAATATTATAACAAACACAAGTTTGTGATGTTTGTAAATTAAATAATTTCATACAGATATAAATATCCGCGTGTCAAGCAATTTCTAGAATAAATAACTTCCACACCATCCATTACATAATACCAATTGGATTATATACCTTATAGTATGAGTATATATCGTCCGTAAACTTCTAATACCTCCTAAATCCTAATACATTCAATTATGATATCATAAAAAGAAGTACTTATTTGTTTTACCAATATTCTTTACGATATTTTTAATTAATAAATTAGTTTTATGTTCCTCCTTAAAATTTCAGAAGTTCACGGACGATATAGCATATCATACATGAAGTATTAAAATGTACCGCTTGTGTACAGATTATATACGTATAAATCTTTTACATGATTTCGTTATTGTCACAAGACATAGACTATTTACAATAACAGTTGATTGAACGTTTAAAAACAGGTTATTTGTTAAGTAATTATTATTTTTTAATAAAGCGTCTGTATTCATTTATTACACACGAATAGCTTAATTATGGACGACAAGGCAAGTAGCTCGATGATAAACACTGTGTATCACAGACTAACAGAAGTTAATTATAAAAAAAAATACCTAAATTTACTACGTATATGGCACTAACAATACTAAATTCAGAAATAAAAGAAGTGTTAAGGCAGTTTTTTCAGTGATTTATCGTCGAGTTCTCGCTTGTCGTGGTCCAAAATGTAGTTACAATAAAATTATACAAATAAAAATTGACTTTGACACGTCCGTCTGTTACATTTCAATGACAATATAACCAAATGCATGGACTTCTAGGTATTCCAACAATACAATCGCGCGATATATAAAGTGAATAATACTTGGCAATTGCATAAATTGTAAGGCCACACACCGAAAGATTTATTTGTAACCTAAAATGCGTTTATCAATAAAAATCGTTTAATGGCGCGATTGATTGTTCGTTGTGAATAAATTGCGAATCAAATAACAACATCCAGTAACAAATAAATGAAACATGTGTACGAAAGTATCAATCGGCAGTAGCACCAGCACAATTTTTAAGCGACCCGCGTGGCGGGCTCACAACCAAAACTTATTGCTTATACAACGAGAGATTGCACTACTCTGGGTGTCCTTCGAGCCGTGGACCAAATTGCATGCTCGAATCTATTGCACATTATGATTTATAAAATAAAACTTAACCATACACATTTGATCAAATAATATCTTCAAAATTTGACTAATAAAAAAATCTACATCAAACCTTAGCACACTATTCACTACGGCATACCTCGACAATAAGGAACAATTATATGATTGATCGATTATAATCGCAAAACGTGACGTTCATGTGTTACGTGAGTTGACCTAGAGAGCGGACATTGCACCTCCTTAAGACTTTCTTAGATTTACGCGAATATTTGACATTTTAAATAGAATGTCAAATATTCGCGTAAATCTAAGAAACGGGAGAGGCTCTCCTGTGACCATGATTGCTGTAAAGCATTCGAAACGTCGCGTCGGGAACCAAAAATCAAAATAAATCCGCGAAATAATCCGAAAAGATAGTTTTATTTAAAATGCACCTCCTTACTTTATTTGCACAAATGATTTTTTGTAAAGACAATAAATTAATATGAATTGACATTCAAAGAATTAATTTAATATAACAACATCAAATTTTAGGTATAATGTATATAAAAAAATATATATTAAAAATAATTTGATATAAAACCAAAAAAAAATAATCACTGCAATGGTTTGACATGAAGGTCAAAGGTGATTAGGACTTAACAAATCATCACATAACACACGAACGGTCACAAACAACAACATGGCAGCTCTACTGCGCGTTTCAACTGTCGGCGCCGTTGACCTCCTTGGGCCCGGCCGCGTCGCCGTCGCTCTTGTGCGTTGCGTCGGCAAGGCCGGGGATCGGCAAGTCTTTCAACTGTCTTTTCTCTATCTCCGCTTTGAACTGCTCTATATCTTGAGGGCTATAATTGAAATGATTCAATTTTAGAAGATATTTAGAATTTTCAAATTGTGTTTTTTTTTCTTAGTTAGAAAATGACATAAAATGATGTTACACAGATTTTGATGAAAATGTCTTAATTTAATAACTCTTCGTATAATTATTTTTTACTATAATGACGGGATATGACAGTGAAGATAGGCGAATCATTATTTGTAGATATTTGCGTAAACTTTTTTTTATCGTCTGAATTAAATACAGCATCCTATCTTATTCAAATTATAAAAATAACAGAAATATTATATAGTTTAAATTGATTAATAATATGGTATACATTGCATGAAGCATTAATGATGTAGATTGTAGAGCATCAATGACTTCGATCAATAATACCATTAGATAACGCGTCACATACAAAATCTAAACTAAATTCTGTCCGCGCGAATATGTACTTATATAGTTACATTTGTATACCAACGAAACAAGAAAAAGTCTTATAAGTTATAGTAGTTTTATTTTCAACCTAATCAACACCATACCACCTTGTAATAAAGTCACAAATCTTCAAATTATATATAACTTACGATCATTTCGTAAGTTTTAGTCTTTATTGTAAAATCGCCCATATATTAAAAACAAAGCAATTTTTCCCGTTGTTGCTTTGTGAGCTAAATCGTTATGTTTTGTTTCTGTTAGCGTTCTTAGCGGATTTAAAATTGTTCAAAATTTCATTTTTCTATTATTTCGTAGGTTAAATCTTGAAATATTGACTTAATCTTACTAAGTTACTTAATTAAATGTATTTACCGAAAATAAGGCACTCCACCTGAAAAATTTCTTCTTCGCGCATTAATTTTGCAACTTTTATATAAACTTTGCAAGTGAGCTTATATTTACCGAGACGGATTTCTTACGCCGCCCCGATATTTAATGGTATTGTTGATCGAAGATCAATGACGTATGCCATGGCGGACAAATTATCGAATCAATAATTAAATTTGTATACATCATCGTAACCTCTCATTTCACATTGATAAAAACAAGATGGTGTGTAAGTATGCATCACCTGATCTGAACAAAAAGTATGCCATTGATGAGGTTGAGCATATCGATGACGGAGGCCATGGCGGGCGGCTGTATGTGCAGCGGCGCGGGCGCGTGCAGGCCGCGCGCGCTCGCCTCCGTCAGCCGCTTCTGCAGCACCACCGCCTGCTGCGTCAGGTGGCGCAGGCACTCGGACGACTCGCGCGTCTTCTCGTGCTTCTCGCCCAGCTGATGTATAAATTGTATATGTGATATGTATTCATTATTAAAGTGTACAAACATTTATTCAAATTTACAAGTATGTTTATATCGTACTTTTCTTTATAGAGTAAATATTTATTTACAATTTTTATTACATTGACAATATTAATATAACCTTATTAAATCTCAACATTTAATTTGGTATATATGCTTATCAGATTTTAACAATATTTATATAACAACTACGATTATATAAAACAAAATTGAAATCATATTATTTTTTAAATTTCATACATTTGTATTAAATATCAGCATTACAGGGCATTCAAGCGGGGCGAGTAAAGTACGTCGCACGATCATTTATATGTAAATTGCCACAAGGCGTCACTAACCTCTTAACTTCAAAACCGTCAAATAGTAAAAATTCATATTTTACAACTCTTGCTTTTAACAATACTTCCGTTAAAATCTAAATAAATATGTATTTTTATACGGAGTATGTATTTTTATACGGAGATATTACTCGTAGTATAAACAATCATTTCCGTCCATCATTACAACATGGGTGTCTTCAAGGCAAGAGTGAATAGGTGGCTACTGAATTAGTGCGACTTACGACTGCGTTACCACTTACCATCAGGTGGAACGTAGTCAAGCACTATCAGATTCAGAATACTATAAAAAAAAAATCTGTGCGTTGGAATACACACCAGCTGCTTATATATAGAGTACGTCTCCTTCTCGTGCTGCAGCGCGGCGCGGAAGTCGCCGAGGCAGGAGAGCGTGCGCGCGAGCAGGTGGCGCGCCACGGCCGCCTTCAGCGAGCGCGCGCCGTGCGTGGCCGCCGTCACGCGCAGCGCGCGCTCCGCGAACCGCAGCGACAGCTCGTACTCGCCCACAGCGTGCAGGATCAGCGCTATGTTGCTCTGTGCACACACACGTACGTAAATATATTTTTTAATCCATACTTCCATACTAATATTATAAATGTGTAAGTGTTTGTTTGTCTTTTTTTCACCTCGAAACGGACTGACGGATTGACGTGATTTTTTGTGTGGAGATAGTTAAAGGGCTGAAGAGTGACATAGGCTACTTTTTATCGCGGGAGATAATCTCATTCCTACGGGAAAACACGTTATAATAAAACCCAAAAATTATTTATGATCAGAATTACTTGAAATTTGGTATTAATCTTATCTCTTAATCTCTTCAATACAATTAATTAAATACGTGTTTCAGCATTTTTCAAAATTCATCTCATAAGGGGGTAAAATAGGAAGTGAAAGTTTGTATGAAACCTATTTATTAGTTTTTCTGTAGTTTTAGCGTGAGCAAAGCCAGGGGTTCTGCTAGTAATAAATAAATATGTTGGGACATTAACACACAGTACCATCTAGTTCCATGGTAAGCTACGAGGCTTGTGTTATGGATACCAGATAGTTGATGCATATACACATATATAACTATAAAAACATACATATTATAAATATAAACAACCATGACTGGAGTACAAACATTCGTTCTCATCACCACACAAATGAGTGCCCCCAGCGGGACTCGAACCCGCGACCCCTGGCACAGCATGTAGGGTCACAGCAAACTGAGCCAAACGTGTCGTCGTATAAATTATTATACATACATATAATTAATTTACTCTTTAACTATTTAGGATAACTGAGCTTTAATATGTAATTTAAAGGAACATACTATACAGAAAAGTTCAAATCAGTCCGAAGTGAATAGTAAATAATAAGTAATATACTTCCAGTCCCAAATAAAAACTCATTTAAAATATAAAATATAGATAAATATAGGAATTAATTTATTCGGTCCCTTTTTAACGTCCCACGGCTGGGAACGGGCCTCCTTTCAATACAAGGGGGATCAGGCAATGGTCCACCACACTGACCAAATATACAATTATGAATGAATAAGAATTACAATAAATGTACCCCATAGGCCATAACATACGTGTGCAAACCTTTGCCACTTCATTCCTACGCGAAAGGAAAAACAAACATATACATACATATATTATACCGTTGTTATAACATTAGAAAAGATAAAAATAGCAAGGAAAATGAATCCTTACATCTAACAAAGCCATTTCTGGATGGTTCTCGCCGCACACGAGCAGCGCTAAGTAGCGGGCGCGATAGAGCAGCTTCAACGCCGTGCTGACTTGTCCATTTGCGAAGCAGTATAACGCCAGATGCGACTGTAAAAGATAACATTCAAAATACGTAAATATTCATTCTTATCAAGAAGTATGTGTTTACATATTAAAATGGCAACAATGAATCAAAACGTGGCGATGATATACACTTATTGATGATGTTTAAAAAACATTTTATTGAAATAAGCCACACGTCACAGTAGACATTGCCAAACATGATTGCTATCACAATGACAAGATCGAACTCAAACATTTATAGTTTAATAGCTATAAATAATTGTTCCGAACTTTATTTATTTATTACGCCAATTCAAATTTATTTAATAAACTTTCAATATTAACTTAACATAATGACATCAAACATCAACACATTATTATGTAACATATCTACTGATAGAATTAAGACAACATAACAGTTTAGTACATTTTACGTATACATACATACAATAAGCTTCTAAAGGTAGGACAGACGGTGTAGGTGCTAATATAGTAAACTAAAAGGCTAACAATACTCACATATTCAGTGATAGTATACGGATGATCGATGCCATTGACCCGCTCGGACATGAGCACAGCCTTCTGCTGGTAGGCCATGGCGTCGCGGTGGTCGCCGGTGACGTAGCACAGGCGCGCCACCATGCGCAGGCACTGCGCTATCTCGCCGTGCATGGCGCCATACACATTGTTGAGCAGATTCAGTGCCTCCGCTATCAGCTCGTGGCCCTCCGACACGGCGCCCGCTTGGATCTTGTTCTGACCCGTCGTGTAGAAGTTGTACGCGTCCGATGCCTGTCATATTTCGTTTATTAGAATCAATCATTTTTGAAGTGAGACTTTTTGAGAATCGTTATGATTTGAACCTCGACGAAACGGAAATGCAACACTAAAAATAGACAAACGCATACATATATATAGGATTGAGCCGGTGAGAGAGTGAGATAGAATACATTGCCATGTTGCCAAGGTAACCGTTATTATTATCATTACACAGGAAGTAAAAACTAATAGAATAAATAGTGAACAGTATGTAATGTGTATTTATGTTAAACTAGCATTGCCCGCGGCTCCGCCTGCGTTTAGATAACCAAAAACCAAATTCTTAGGTTTTACATATCAGTATACTTTTACATTGCAGTTTTTGTATTTTTTCTCAGAAATTAGATATTTTCCCGCGGTAAAAAGTATCCTATATGTTGACCCGGATAACCAGCTATCACCATACCAAATTTCATCAAAATCCCTCCAGTGGTTTTTCTTTGCGGTAACAGACAGATAAAAATTCTAAAAACTATAGATTCGGCCTCTGAATCGATAATAATGTTTATTTCAATAAGATTTTCCAAAAAATATTTAATGTACAGATTCGGCTTTTTTACATTTTTATTATATGTATAGATAAAATGCAAAATAACTTTTAAACTTTGTAAGAATATTATAAAAAAAATAAACCTTATAATTATCCCAGTCCTGATACTCTCTGATACTCTATCTCATTCTCTCAAAGGTTACTTTTCTGAAGTTTCACTTCTACCATGTGTGAATTGCACACACAACACACACATTTTTTTTTGTTAGAGTCCACAATAGTGTTTGATTTACAAACTATTTGTCTCTTAACAACACAAAACAACGACTGTTGGATAATTCAAAAACAAATACTAAAACAGTCAAACATTATTTTCAAAATAAATAAGATCTAAAAAATATATGTAAATAATATGAAATAAAATATATTTACCCTTGGATTGATATGTTTGACGACTGGGAAAATATTCATGATGTCAGATCCAGAGAATGTTGTCTTGTTCTTATTATCAAAGTCATACTCTCGCAACAACACTTGCAAGCCGACCTTTAGTGCGAAGGACCTAAAATACAAAATAACATTAAATACCAAAAGCATTTTAGTGGTACTTTACCAATAAAAGTTAATATGTCTAATAATAATTTGTACCTAAGAAGCGATATTTTCTGAAGTGCGTGTTTTTCGATAAAGACGTCCATACTCTCTGCATTCAATTCGTATCCCCAGTAAGCCTGTAAGTTGAGAAAAAAATATTGGACATGTAGTATGTAAATTATAATAATCTAACCTACTTAAGTATTAAGCAATAAATAATAGTTATAGTAAACAGTTTTTAGAAACATGCGACAGTACTATATTTCATTGTGTAAATTCCAACTTGCATACATCTTCTAGAAAAAAAAACAAAAATACAACACCACGTTATCAATTACAGGTCTGTTATAATAAAATTTTTTTTATGAAAAGCAGTCATGAGGACTGCCGACAAAAATGAAAACTTAAAACTATAAAGAAACAGTTGTTATTTTTGGATATTCAAATTGTTTGATCTTAAATTAAAATATGTAAATTAAAACTGTTTACGTTTATCTGGTTTTCACATCTATCGGCACTCTGTGTGTTAGCGTTGACACGTCACGTGACCATGTCGATATTACATGAATTTACTGCCCATCCCACAGAAATCTTAATAATAAGCTAATAGAAGTGGCATAGACGCGTGACCTTGTCGCCACGCATGTGACTCGTAGGTCACAAGCGCGTGTAAAGCGTTTGTTGCGGTAACTAGTGTTATTTGAGACACTGTTCGCGCCACTCGGGCGCGACGATTGGTTCCCTGATTTGCTTTCTCACTCTTACTCATGGATTCGGCGCGAGCGTCGCATGCGCGCCACTCGAAAATGGTCACGCGTCGTCCACGGTTCGAGAAGGGTCGTTAAATTGAAAATATATGTAAAAGTAAAACCCTTCAGCTCATCTGCTCGTGTGTGTGAATTATTATAAGTATATTGCCGGCCGGCTTCTATTAAAGTAAACTATACAGACAATTGAACAGTGATAGTGAATATAGCGTATAATATAAAACTTTGTTGCACGTGTACCTATACGTGCAAAGGTATATTCAGCCCAGGAGCGTGCCATTCACCCAGCGCCATCCATCTATCATCCGCCCATCTACATTCCAAGTAAGTGCACACCCTTACATCTCTCTCCCTTACAACTCCAACCCCCGCTTCAGCTCATCGTCTATGTGAGGTGTCCCAGCCCTTACAATTTTAGGGCTAGCCCTCACATACATCTTTTGGTCCTTCGGCCTCTGAACCACCCCCCTGTGGATAAACAGTGTCCTGAACCCGGGAAATAAGCCCAACTACACCCAGTTTTAAGAATAAAGTTACCCACATTTATTTATTTCTTTTTCAACTAAATATTTAAATCTCATAAATAGATAAAAACTTCTTGTGTATAATCATATAATCTCAGCCCAACTATTGAAATTCACTAATACATAACATTTATTATTAACATTTAAACATAAATATTTCACATCTCAATACATTGTTCCTATTGCTACGTAGGTAATAAGCTAACGCTTTCGAACATAATAAACGTCTCGTATTTCAACAAGTGTTTGATTGCATCATTTTAAAACATATAACTAATAACATAATAATATAAATAAATAAATAAAAGTTCATAGAAAAGTATTAACAATCGGCTCAATACTGCGCTTTATAGTTAGATCAGCTGAGTCGTAGCTAGGTCAAGGACACGGCGTGCGTCTCGATCATTAGTAAGAAAGAAGCAAGTGTTAACATATTTTATTTTTTAATTTAAAAGGTAATAATTAGCGAAGTTATAGTTTTGTATTTGTACAGTGTTATAGATTGTATTATAATTGGTGCAGCGTTGATAGGTATATATTAATTGTACCGTATTATTTCTTCTCAATAGGCATTATTATTGTTTTAGCTTATAAATTTTTTAGTGTTAATTTTTAAATTACTTTTACATAGATAGTATATATAGATATTCTGCTCACTTTAGTCTTCGCTCCGCACTTATCCGTTGCTCGGCTCAATAACATTATATTATAACATTTATACTAAAATCTCACATTCATTTATTTTTTAACCGACTTCTAAAAAAGGAGGAGGTTCACAATTCGATTGTATTTTTTTTGCTCGTCTCTTTTTTTTTTCCTCACTTATTTAATTATATAGTAATTTACATACAATGCCGTCCAAATCTCAAGCAGCTATTTTTCGTGAGGCGATAAAGGCAATCAACCAGCTCAAGGAAATTGCCTTGGCGGTGACAGCTAAGGAAACGAAAAAGTATAGTATAACGGATTTTACTGCTAGGTACGCCAAGCTAGAGGAACACAAGCGCAAATTGGAAAACGTCTTCTACGAGATCCTGGATGACGAGGACCTCACCGATGACGTCGAGGCCACATATACTAAGAATTATGAAAAGGCGATTTCAGAATACAATGATATCCTAGTTGCGTTTGAGAAATTAAGTGTGGCCTCAGCTCTTCCGGAGACTGCTCATCCGTCCACGTCAGCCACACCTGCTAACGTTCTGCCCAAAATTGCTCTGCCGAAGTTCAGCTCTAAAATTGAAGACTGGCCTTCCTTCATAGCCATCTTTAGGAGTCTTACTGATGACATGACAACCATTTCGGATTCTGTGAAGCTTCATTATCTGCTCTCGTGCCTCTCAGGCGAGGCACGCAGTATGGTATCTCATCTTCAGCTCACCAACGAGAACTTCGCCGTGGCCATGGATATTCTAACCAGGCGATATGAAAACCGTCGCGTCCTGATCGACCGGTTTGTGGACATCATACTAGGGCTACCACACATCCATACGCGCTCTGATATCCGCACACTCTTCTTGACTCCGCTCATTTCTGCGCAATGCGCCCTGAATAACCTCGATTTGCCCATGAAGGATAGTGACTACGTTTTCGTATCTATAGTAGTACGAAAGCTTAAGGGTGAGCTTCGGACCCTCTTTGAGCGTAAATATGGATCACGTCAGACTCTGCCAACTCTCAATAATTTAATCACCTTCTTGGAAGAGCACGCGCGTTGTGTGGAGACCGAGCGATCCAGCCCACTCTCTTCACAAATTAGTCGACACTCCCCACAGAATAACCAATACCGCAGGCGGACCCCCCTGCTTCTCCACGAGTTTCACCTCGTCAGCCCGCTCATCATCAATTTCGGCCAATTAACCAGGCAAGAAGTCGACACGAATATAGCACCCCGCAGCCGGCTCCGCTTAGGCCGGTTTACTCGGCTCAACCATCAGCTCCTGTCGCTCCCATTGCAGATAATATGCCCTGCCCATACTGCAGACATAGAGGGCACAAGCTCATCGCCTGCCCGCGGTACAATGACCAACCGATCCAGGGTCGATGGGACTTTATCAACGCTCGCAACCGCTGTCGACGCTGCTTAGGCCCTCATTATGAGAATGAGTGCAAGTCCACGAGGGCTTGCAAAGAGTGTGGAAATACAAGACACCACACATCACTGCATCGGCCCGGTGCTTCTTCTCCGACTCACTCGAACGCTCATCTTCTACCTACGCATATGAGAGAGCAACCCAGACAGCGCTCAGCAGATGAGCACCAACATTATTCGGCACACGCCGCACATGTGAACCCCAGGCCGCACAACAATCAACCCAATCATTCGCGCTCGCCTAGTAGGTCTCGGGTAGGTGGTCAACAATGACTATCTACAATAAACGAACACTACAAACAAGAAACTAATCAGCACACTTACTCAAACTCAGCTCACACACAGACCTCACAAGCTCACTCTGCGATATCAGCTCCAACCATGAATGATTATTTTTGCAATTCCGCTCAACGTGAAGAGCACGTTACCAATTTACCAATTTTATTGCCAACCGTCTCGCTAAAAATAGCAGACGTACATGGCCACTTTCACACAGCTCGAGCCTTGTTGGATTGTGGTAGCATGATAACACTTATAACTCAGCGCATGGCTCGAATTTTGAATTTACCGCTAAATCAAACATCACTAAAAATCGCAGGAGTGGGCAACCACCACACACAGGACTCAAAGGAATCAATCACAATAGTATGTAGACCTACACACCATGACACACCTACGATTACGGCTACAGCGCATATTTTAAAAAATCTTACAGGTTACTTACCAATACAAAAAGTTCCGCGCATAGCAGATGCAGAGCCTCCGATTCCCTTGGCAGATCAAGATTACCATACACCAGCTCCGATCGATCTCTTATTGGGTTCTGACGTTCTCGGCCAAGTTCTGGACGGGACTAAGGTGTCGTTAGGCCGGGGGAAGCCTATAGCCTTCGGCACGATTTTCGATTATGCATTGATAGGACCTATTGCGGATTTACATGCAACGTCTGCAAACCAGTCCATCTCAGCTCACGTTATCAGCTCACACTCAGAATCTGACGTATCTACACGCGAAATTTGCAAGCGCATTGAGAGGTTCTGGGACTCGGAAGAACCACAACCTCATATAGCGACCAGTCCTTTGCAGGAGCAATGCGAAGAAATTTACCGCACCACAACAACACGAGAACCATCAGGCAAATATATGGTAACATTGCCTTTTTTACCAAATGCGCCGACCTTAGGCAACACTCATGCTATTGCGCTACGTAGATTTCTCAATCTCGAAAAGAAGTTACAAGCAAATCCGCCCCTCCGCTCTCAATATGTTGACTTTATGAATGAGTATCTCAACTTGGGACACATGTCACCCTGTCACCCAAGTACCTTTGCAGGTAAGCCGCACTTCTATATTCCGCATCATGCTATTTTCAAGACGGGATCAGATAAACTACGCACTGTATTTGATGGTAGCAGTAAAAGCTCAAATGGCGTAAGTCTAAATGATTGCCTGCACACAGGTCCAGCTCTCCAACAGGATATTGTTGATATTATTTTGTCATTTAGAACACACCCTGTAGTCTTCAGTACTGACATCAGAAAGATGTTCAGAAATATACTCATCCATCCAGATCATAGACAGTATCAACTTATTCTCTGGCGGTCGTCACCTGACCAGCCTCTGCTCACATATGCGCTAAATACAGTCACGTATGGTTTACGGTCCAGCCCGTACCATGCCATCCGCACACTGCTCCAATTGGCTGATGACGAAGGTCATCGTTACCCACAAGCTGCACAGATCCTACGCAATTC